CCCGCCTTCATAGCACCCGCAACATGGATTGAAGAGTAGAGGGTTCTTAAAGAGCAGTAATATGTATTAAAATAAAAAAAAACTTTAAAAAATGCTAAATAATTACGGCCAAATATCATCTCCTCCTGGATTTCTTTCCTCTTGAAGTTTTCTCAACTTCTTAGCGGCTTCGATTGACTCCATTATAGATTGTTCGTAGATATCTTTATGTGATTTATAGAGAAACAAATCAGCATCCTCTTTCAAGTCCTGAAACATGTAGTTTTCTAAAATTAAGAGATTTATGTTTGATTAATCATATAGATAACATAACGAATATTTTTAGAAACAGAAAGTATTAAGACCAAAAAGTGTACAAGGAATTTACATTCAATACAACGTAAAATTTTGCATATTTTTAATAATCTGCATTACAAGCTAAAGAAATAAATTAATCTATATATCTATTTCAATGGAAAATAACTTACACTCTTTCCATCAAATCTTAAGCACTTATCCGAGTAGAATTGATTAATTCTATCTTTTAACTAAAATAAAAATTTAATTATCGGAACTAATAACATATGTGAAGATATCTAAAGTGCAATTAATTTAAATTAATTAATAATTCAATTAATATGAATTTGAAATATATATGCATATAATTATTTAAAATACAAACTGTTATATAAATTTAAATAGTTAAATAGTATATCTGAAATACTTAAAATAAGAACTGCACATACCTTGTATATTAAAATAATACATATATATTATGTACTAAATAAATTAAAATTTAAAAAAGTGTTCTTCAAATCTTAATTAAAAGGTAGAACGTCAGTTACCCAATATTTTATTTTTCTAAAGGTCAGACAAGAACTAATTAGACTCATTAAATATTTTTTAAACTTTTAATTATTTTAAAAATATAGTTTATAGCAAGAGGACAAGATCTTTCTTAATTGCAGAGTTAACTTTTATAAACAAGATTTCCGCTTCAGGTATTCACAATTAAATTATGCATAATTTCTTACAATTTATGCAGTATTTTAGAGCTCAATGGACCTTCCCGAATGCGGAGCGTGTAATAGACTAACAATAATAGACTGAATATAATGTATAATATTTTAGACTATTCTACTTTACATATGATTGATGAAATTAAAATAATGTTTATATGAAATAATATTTATTGTATTATTGTATAGTATTATTGTTTATAGAGCCGTATGTGTTATTTGTGCAGATATATATGTATTTAAAACTATTCGACTTTCGAACCCCCAGGTTCAAGAAGAAAAATTATTTTTAAAATTTTTGTGTAATCAACAGATCTTATCTCTGACAAATATAAAATAATTTTTATTATCTTAATCTGCACACCAGTACATTATTTTAAACTTTTCACAAAATCACGTACCTACCACTGGGGTTAAGGGTTGCATCAATTTGCTTTAGGTATATAACAATGTAAATAAGTTTACATTACAATTTTGAAGTAATTATCGATGTAGTTTTAATATATTAATAATAATAAAACTAATATTCCTTCATTATAGTTATAGTTATATTAATTATGATTAATATATCAACTAAATTTATATTTATGTCCTTAAAAATTTTTTTAAATAATGCACAATTTTATTAAATTGTAAATATATAATTATACTTTTATATCAAATCACAACGCATAAAAATTTAAGAGTAATATATCGTCAAACACTAACCTACGTCTCTCTTGAATTTTAATTTTTCAGCTCCACCATGCCACCAACTTGCGAAATCTTCAACTTTGAAACTGGCTGCATTACGTTCCTTTTGTAAATCGGGATTCACCGTAGCAGGAATTAAACTTTTTCCAGACATAATTTCTCAATTACAATAATTATAAATAAAAATCAATACACTATCTGCAAGTCTTTTGTGTTCCAACTTTTTATTTACAACGTCCACTTCCAGAAGCGACTATCCGGTTACTGAAAACACAATTTTCTGAAGACCAGTAAATGTGTTTTTCTCACGAAAGTCAGCGTAAATGGCAAAAGCTTTACGTTATTTTCTTGAATACTCAACTAGATCAGGCCGAGAATGAGTAAATAAGCTTTTCCCTCTTTTGATAATGCATTATCTCAAATGAGAATTAATAAGAAAGGGAGTCGGAGCATATCATTATCATTTAAATAAAATGCGTTACATTTATTGTGCTAGGTTAGTGATAAATATAAATATAGTGAATAATATATTAAAAAAAAAAAATAATATATTTATTTAATAATATTTATATAATATCATTAAAAAAATTTCCGTCATTAAAAATATACATACGTGAATGTCAAAATAAAATTAGTATATATACATGGGCGTACACAGATTTCTTCCCCCTAGATTTCAATATTTTATTATTATTTTGAATAAAAATTAAATATTACTTAAAAGAAATGTGTAAAATTCGGCTTTTTAATTTTTTTCTAATTTACATACATATATTTCTTAAATAATAGTTTTTCCACTTTATGCTTGCATAAAGTATATGACAATGTCATATCAGTATACGAGCTTCTCCTGATTTCGGATCTGAGTAGGCTTATGTATATATATCCGATAACAGCAAAACGATTTTTAAGTGCTGAAGTTCATAGATGTAAATGTGTTAATTATATTTTAACACAATTTTAATTAGTTTTGTAATATAATTTTACATAAATTAATTTGTTTTCTTCGTATACCCATTGTTCAGTACAGTGAACTTAGGTTAGAACAATTTTTTATTTTTTATTTTTTTTTCAATATTATGAAACTAAATGAAAACATGTTATTATATTGCTTACTATTAAGTGAAACCCGATAGTATAGACTGCTTGCTCATTAATTCTTAATTACTATTAAATACTTAATTTGTAAAAGTAACAATTAACTATATTCAATTAAAGAAAATTGTAATTTACTAAATAATGATTTCAAAGATCAAATCGTGTACATTAACATAAATTTCTAGATTGATTATTTATTGGAGCTTCATAAAAAATACGTTGGTGCAGTTTTTAAGAACTTATTGCAATAACAAGATAATACGATCGAAATCAGGACTAACTAGGAAAACCTATTCATTAGTTATAATATATCAGTTATAGTCTTTACTGAACGATTTTGTAAAATAACACCAAAGCGTATCTTAGATGAACTCTACATTATTATGAAGCTAACATATTTTAAATTAAAATATTTTATATTTCAATCATGTCTTTTATTATGTATAGGAGAATTGGATATATATAAAAAAGTGGCAAATTTTCGTTAATAAATTTTTAAATTATATGTGTTTTATAGATTAGATTTCATAAATGGTTTCAAGTGTTCGTGAAAAGCTTTTGGTACAGGTTGTTGATTTAATGGGCTTTTCTTAGCCGCTTCAAAAAGACGTTCATAAACATTGCCATCGTAGGAGCCCAATGTTGAACTTAAGGTACGGTCATGATAATCAAAACCATCACAAATGGCTACGGCATCAGGACGTAAATCTATTAGAGCTTTTTCCAAACGTGTTTGCAATGTTCTTAATTCTGTTTCACTTAATCTAACGAACTGTAAAAATTATAAAAAATAAATTAAAAATTTGTACAACATAACATTCTTAATATAGTTTTTTGACACTTACTCTCAAAATATTTGTCATTTGCTTTAATACAGTATTGACTAAATATAATTCCAAAAGATTTCCCATTACTTTTTGCAAAGCTGGAGAGGATTGTTTTTGTTGCAATTGCCTAACCTGTGCTAGGAAAGTGGCACACACAAAAGCACGTCCATGCGACTATAAGTATGTTAATATAGATAAAAATTTTAGATATATATGTGTATGTGTATGTTTATGAAAATATTAACGCATATTATTTTCTCATTAATATTGTCAATTGTCAATATAATATTTATTATTATTAGTAAATAAATTGTTATATTAATAATTTTATATTAATATATATAAATATATTATTTACCTCAGCAGCCTGGATGAGCTCGATGCCAGTGTTATTTGCAGCCTCAGCCTCAGATTGTCCAGCTTTTAACCGTTGCGTTAAACTCTCAAATGCAGTTCGCGTTTTACTAGAAAAACAGAAAAACAGAAAAAATAAATATATTTTATATGATATATTTATATATACTTTGCTGCTACGAATTCCAAATGTTTCACCATGTTTTCCCAAGTACCGGACCATTTTTCAACACTATTATTTTTTACAATATCAACTAAGTAACTGGTTGTAGGTGACAGAGGTTTACCAGAAATAGCGTTTCGCCATGTTTTCATTAAAAATCTCCCCACTTGTAATAACAAGACGGTGTTTTCACCTTCATAAGTTATAGAAGCTGTGGCATAAACGTACAAAGTAGCCAAATGAGCAGATGTTAAGTAACCATGTCCACCACAAGCCAAACGCAAACGTTCTACACCTTCAGTGGCATCATAGGAGCAAAGTACTTTCAATATACAAGATAAAGCATGCATTTCTGGTAATCGACCATATTCACCGCGCTCAATTTCGTTTGAGGTTATATCAAACAAAGACATTAAATAATCCGAAGCTAGACGATATGCAACTCCAGTAGCAATTTCAGGAAATAGTTTCAATTGTTGTGTCACATGATCTATAATTTGTGGCTCAGGATCGCTAAAATATAATATATAAAAGTTCATATTGTTATCTCAATCTATATCATGCTATCATGTGCACTTACTTTGGATTTATTGGACTTTGTCTTCGAACAGCCGAATAACGAGTAGCAATCGTTGCAGCCATAGTTAACATTATTGCATCATCTCTAGCAATTATACAACGTACCGAAACCATTGTGAAGTATGTGAGTACAGATGCAGGACTTTTTACAAACGTACCATCAGAAAATACTTTAGCATTTCTCATTAACATTTTTGTACGTGGGATTCTAACATTCTTTAAACCCAAATACCCATTGTTTACACCGAAGAAACCTACTTTTTTGCCAATTTCACCGATATCAATGCCAGGCAATGGCATATGTGTTTCCTCATCACGTACTTGGACAAAAAACATTTCTACTCCTTTCGCTTCGTTGTCTATAAAAAGTTGTGCTACCACAATGCAGTAATTAGAAGAATGTCCCACTAAAAATAGATGAAGTTAAATGAAATAATATATCATATAATTTTATAAAATACACATAACTTACAACCACCAGGCCACCATTTGTAAGATGATAATGTCGGTGAATTTAAAATAAATTCATCAGTTTTACGATCATAATCGGCTCTGGTTTCCAAACCTCTCAAAAATGTGCCATGACCGAGTTCAGTTTGTGCATATGTGCCACATATTTCGAAATTAGCAGCGCGTTTACCAAAATCTGCATATTGTTCATCAGTGCCTTGTGCTTTAAGTGCTGTGACCAACATAACGAATTGTACACCAAATGGGTTACCGGCCGGCATAGCACCCCAGAGTAATGAAGAATTATAAAGTTCACTTCAGAAAAGTTTAAAAAAACGATTGTAATATAGAGAGAGAAGTAAAATAATCGATTAAGCATATATACGAGTACTTACGGCCAAATGTCAATTCCTCCCGGGTTTCGTTCTTCTTGCAGTTTACGCAACTTTTTCGCAGCATCAATTGCTTGCTTCACTGCTTGTTCGTATATGTCTGCATGGGACTTATATTGAGTTAAATGATTGTCCTCTTCCATGTCCTTGAACATATAATTTTCTGAAATAATAAATTAAAAATTAAATTAAAAAACATAAATACTAAAAACAGTTAATTTAAAAATTATATATTGTATAATACAATATATAATGTATATAATATAATCTATATTATAATATGTATATATAATATAATATATGTACATAATATAATATAATATATGTACATAATATAATATATAATATAATTTATATATATACTCATTTTGAACTCATTATATATAACAATCTGTGTTTCAAAATTTCGCAAAACATTAATATTTTATTTTGTCACGACTTGATCTAATAAACATTAAAAAAATTCTATATATTAATTTTTTTTACCATATAGACCCTTTTTGCGATTTACCTTTTGCAATAGTATAAAATAATGGATATTATCATATTTAAAAAAAGTTATATTGACTTCTAATAATAATTTAAAATATTTAGATATGCAAGAAAATTATGTTGATGGATACTGGATGCAAAATCTAGTAACTAGTTTTTAATAAAATTTTGCTCACCCAAATAAATCTGTCCACTATTTAATTATTTATTATAAATTCTATAAAATTATAATTTATATAATAATCTAATATACTAAGCTAGATATCATATTTCCTATTCATATCTAAAAAAATCCACCTAACAATTATCGAAACACAAGTGAGAATTGGTTTAGCAACCAATAGTGAGAATTTTACAATGGAGAGCAATGATAATTTAAAAAAATAAAAATTTATTTATATTAAATTAATATATTAATTTATTTTATAAAAATAATGTTTAACTTTCATTTATTATTGATATTAATTATTTTTTAAATAATAGCACTATACTTTTCAATGGGTGATTTAAAGCAAAATCTTTAAATATTTCAAATTGACAAAAATGAGTATAGATTTGTTATTAATGTAAAAGTAAAAAAAACTAAAAATTTTTCAAAAAGAGACTTTCGAAAAGTAGTAAACTACAATAAAAATACCTTTTTATATTATTTTTATTAATTGAAATTTGGCTAACCATAGAGCTATTTCGTTTATTACCAAATACCCATCATCAGTGGTCTTGGAAATAATTCTAAAACCATTCATAAACAATTTTAAAATTATAATAATTTTTCTAACAATTTAGGGCCGGTTTGGACTTTAAACATAAACATTACCTGTTAAAAATTGTTACTATCATATAACATGTGTTATCGACTATCAAAACTACTTCAATTTCAAAACAACAAAAAGCTTTGCCAATTCACTGTGCAAAATTTTTTTGTAGATACTTTTTATAAACTTACCCAATTCTCTTTTGAATTTCAGTTTTTCTGCGCCACCATGCCACCACGTTGCAAATTCTTCCACATTAAAGCTGGCTGAATTGCGTTCTTTTTGTAGATCTGGATTCACCGTGGAAGGAATCAAAGACTTTTCAGACATTTTTAAATAAATAAAGAGGTTTATATCTACGGTTAAAACAAGTGCACTGTCTAACTTTCTCCAACAAACTAACAATTGACTCAATTATTCTTCAACATATATAGGCATAGACATCCGAATTACAATAAGGTCCAAAGGTTTCATAGAGCTTTTTACAATTTTGACTACTCAACAAGAGTAACCACAAAGAGCATGAAATCGTCTTTTTTTAAGAGTAGGTGTAATACATAACGATCCCACGACTAAAATCTGATGAAATCTTTATTTAAGGAGAAAAACAATATGATTCGGTATCAAAATATTGTGATAGGTCACTTATTGAGTGATGGGTAGCAAAGAGCAACAATTAAGAGCAGTATCTTTAACTTTAAAATTTATCACAAAATAATATCACAGATAGTATATATTTATATAGATGAGTAGAGCAAATGTGCTTTCAAGTCTAACAAAATTCTTTTGTTAAGAAAATAATAAAAAAAATAATAATAAAATAATATTATAATAAATATTTATTGTAAATATTAATAAAAACATATTAAAAATATAGAAAAGTTATTCTTTTAATATTAGTATGTAAGAAAGTTTTTAAAAAAAAAATTCCGAAGACTTTATGCTTTTTTATAGTTACTACAAACTTGACAAACATTGTGTAATACAGTCATACATATCATATACCATATATAGTCGGTAATATCACAACTAAAATACACTAAGGAGTTAAAAATTAAATAAAATAGTAAAAAAAAAATAAATAAATATTTCAAATAGTCCTGATCTATGGTTTTAATATCTGGTCTGGTGTGAAAACTCATTTAAATAATTGATGTCTCTGTCTCAAAAATAGAGCTTCAAGCACTTCTTAAAATTAGCAAAAATGGGTACTATAAAATCTATATACAGGTTTAACTTTATGTGGTGTCAGTAGTAATAAAAAGGCTTATGTGTGGCTTACGGCAGATTTGCAAAACCAAATGTCGCAAAATAATAAAATGGGACTTCGCCGAAATGAGCAAAGTATCTACACGAGCTAGACTATGACAAGATATGTATGTCCGAAAGCAATACGTATTATTTTCGAATTTATTTTCGAACTACAACAAAAATTTATGCCTTAATGGAAAACTGGGTGTATGCAAAAATCTGGCTAAATTCTAGCTAGTATAGACACAGGGCTAAATATGTTAGTTTCACTTGTATAAATATTACACGTATATGTACATATATCTTATCTTGGAATCTTTATCTTTTATAGTTATCGTTAACCATAGCCTATACTTTGTATTGTAATATATATTGCACCAGTCAAATAAAAATTTCCGTCTATAATAATGTGATTAAATGCTAATGGAATGAAATAACTGCGTACAAATAAAAAAATAGAGATGAAACTACATTCTAATATACAGTCTTAATCCTAAAGGATAATAAATAGCCATTTACTTTCATTTATTAAAAAGTTAATTATATGCTTTAGCCCAAAAAATGTTAAAAGTTTACATAAGGTGTGTCAAAAAACGCATTGAAGAGAACGTCATAGGTCCCATAAAGTATATATATTATTAATCAGGTCGATGAGCGGAGTTCATTTAGCCATGACCGCTTTTTACTTTATTCCAACCTACTCTCTCGGTGTTTAAGCTATTCGAATGACACTTTGCAAACATACTTTTCGGGAGAGAACCTTGATCAATTATTGGCTTGGCCAAAACCTTAAGCAATCATTAAGTGAAGAATCGATTATGAATTTTCTCTATTTTTTATGAAAATATTTAATTGAAATTTGGTAAAGAATGTACTAATATTCGCACTAATTTCGACTTAGATTTAAATATAACTGTCATATATGTTGCCGAATCAGACACAAGTTTTTGTTAGTAAAAATTTTTATTTTCTAATGTGCGTACAAATTTGGAACATAAGCATAATTTAAAAAATGCAACCTCATTTGTTGGTTTTGCCAAAATCGGATTACTATATTCTATTGCGAACTGAACAATCGAATATGAGTAATACTCGTTTTTAAACGAATATTTATAGATATAAAATACATATATTTTATATATATATATAAGTACACTCTCTATATTCAGTACTGCTGCCATATAAACCTCCGATTTAGAAACAGGTTTTTGTTAGAAAACTCTTTCTTTCTTTTTGTGTTAGTTTGAATATAAAACTTGAGTTTAGACTAA